GCAGGAATACTTTTCAGTGTTGTCATCCCAACATCCATAGCATCTTCTCGCTGGACGTTTAGTCCTGGTAGATTTCGGAAATCCATGATCCAGTCAGACCTCATGGAAGGTTCTCTGTGAACACCCGAGTGACTTTTATTTCGGGGTTGCTACTCAGCACTGACTCTAAGTAGGTTTGTCTGGATTTTGGATACATTGCGCATACCTGCGGATGTGACCTCGCTCCGCAGGTCTTGCATAGAACCATAGCTCGACATTTTCTGTTACTCTGCCAAAGAAAAGAGGTTGATAGTGTGAGGAGTAGTAGAGTTGAGCAGTGCTGACGTTCTTCACCGATCGATTCTCTTACACACATCTCAAGTACCAATAACCCCCTTACAACTCTCCTCCAAGCACAAACTCACAACCTCAATATTGCGGTCATTCCGCCCAATCGTACTGTCATTACTCCTCATATAGCAATTGAAGGGCATTTTCATATCTCGCATCGCCGTACTCTGGTTCGCCCATTCGGGTATAAATCCTCCACCGATACAGCGTCTCCCTGTCGCTTGGCTGTTGAAGAATGCGCACGACTCAATGCAGTCCGACGGCGAACCGACGGAGATCGCAAAAAAGAGGTCGTCGGAGAGCCAATCCGTGTTGCAGAAGGTCGTGTAGGGCATGTCGAGTTGCTCGCTGAACGACTTGAACGAGTACTGGCGAGTCGGTGGATCACAACCGGTTGTGGGGATGATGAGAGTGCTGGCGGTTGGGGTGCCCGATGCCGCCGTTGGCGAGGTTGATGTAGGTGTCGAGGAGCTGTTCGTTCGACATGCTTGTTCTTGACTTTGGCCTGCTGCTGCTCCATTGCTATGCCCTAGAAGTCTATTATCTTCAATTGCCTTCCCCACAAACCCTCCCACTAGCCCTGCTAACACTGCTATCAAGAGTCCAAATAGCGATAGTATAGGCCATCCCATAAACCAATTTCGCCGGCCTTGACCGTTGTTGACCTCTTTATCCTCTCTCTCCTCCCACTGTCCATCGTAATAGTATGGCGCTACAACATTCGATGGCGTCGTGGTATATTTAGTCGATAAGTTATCGTCGCCGATTGAATACGTATAGTTTGCGCTTTCAGGAACAGGTACCACTTCGGGGTATACGACTTGCGGGGAGTCGCACTGTTGGTTTTGTAAGTGGCGAGGCCGGTGTTTTATCTAATCTTTCATCGGCAGCTGGCTTCTGTTTTCTGCTTCCATAACGGTCTAACACTCGCCGTGCCAATACAACGCTACGATCACTTACTTTTGGAGAACTCATTTTCAATTCCCGCTCAGACTATTTCAGTCTACATCCCAAGACACTGCGAGGGATGTCCACCAGGGATAGAGATGAGCCATAGTTTTGTACGGGTTTCTCACTTCGTTTCGCCCCCAAAATTCGGGCGGCATGGTATTGTCGCAGGTAGCGAGCCACATCACCTGTTATCGACGGCTTTAACACAGCAAGCCACCTTTACAGGGCGTGATCTACGGTATCTAGAGTTTGAAAGCCGCGCCATGTTGTTCTGGCGTAGCGTAAAAATGCCTTAAGGTAAGATCCAACGAACGTCTGGATAACGCGACAGGCCCAGCAGCGGTCCTGTTCTTTCCTACGCACCTGCACCGATAAACCACCACCCAAGCCATGCAAATGAGCAGTGGGGCTAAGGGACATCCGATTAGTATTTCTACGATTCATGACCCCGCTAGTAATGTTCTACAAAAACCTTGATATCAGTACCACTCCCCACACAAGCAATGCACCCTCTGAAACAGCACGCGAAGGAAGGAAACCCACTGTTCGATGGTATAGCCACCCACACTGACACCCGATCTCTGTACGCCGAGCCCTCACTTCCTAAAGACTTTCACAATATGGTATGCTAGGAAAGAGCTCTTGACTCCGATGCCTACCCCATGGACCATGAATGAGGAAAACGCCGAAGAATGCCATGTAGCCGAAGTCAAAAGTACTGTACAATAAACAATAGCATCACCAACATCATCGTTCGCGCAGGACAACCCACCTTGCACTCCAACTTAACACTATCAGACCTCAAGGCTGCCCACCATGTAAAATAGCAGGTACGCTTCAGCGCCGAGGACCTCCTTCTCGTTGACGAGCACGACTTTACTATCGTCGAATAGGAACCAATCATTACCCTCTCTTGAATAGCTAACATAGTGTCCAGAATCCATTTTCCCCTTGTGCACAATGACGCTGCTAAGCTCGTACTGAATGCTGTTCGTTGGAGTGTTGACATTGTAATTTGCGTTCGCGTTCGGGTTGGACAATTTCGCGGCTTTTGTAATGGAGGCTTTGTATTGGGAGGTGTAGGGATAGAGGTCGATTTTCATGGGGAATTTGACTTTTGTCTCGATTTTTGAGGAGGCGGATTTGGTGTGTTCGAAACGCTGGGAGGTGTCAGCCTTTTTAGCCTTCATATGTTACTCCATACCGCTTCATTTCATTCCGCAAATAAAGGGGGTGAATATTTACCTTTAGATGTATGGGCAGCACCGGTGGCAACCTCTTGATGCTCAACTGTTTTGTCGCATTCTGCCCGCCATCACAGTTCTGACATGTATACTCCGCCGCAGCAAGTTTCTCCCGACTGGTGAATCTCTCCAAGCATTCTCTTAGATCTAGCTCCTTGAAAGCCGCGTCGTCTCCGTTGGCGTCCTGGTGGGCCGCTTTCCGCTTTTTGCCTTGATTCCGTATGTCCAGACTCAGGTCCATGTAGGGATCTAATGTGGCGGTCACGTTTCGGCATTTGTCGCAGGTTACAGTACTCGAGAGCTTTCCATAGAAGGTTCTGTGCACGATGCAGTCGCAGTCGGTTTTGGAGGTGCCACCGTTGGAGAGATGGAGGGCATTGAGGATGAATTGCATGTATTCGTGGGCGTCCTGCTGTTGGTAGCCGGCGAGGGCCTGTAAGTTTGTGTCAGCAGGTAACCAAGTTAATCCGAGAGTCGAGTGCAAAGGCAGGAAACGTACCTCGGCTGCGAGCCAGCTTCCCAGGAGCATGCTAACTGCGCCAAACCCTTCGGTCTTCTCCACAGAGTGGAACTCGACAAACATTTCGTCAAGGGCGCAGCTCACGCATGCCTCTTTCTCACAGTCCACCGTCCGGTGTCCCTCCGCGAGGTAGAAGTTCCGCACGAAGGGGTTGTGTATCAGTGTCTGCAGTATGACGCTCATAAAGCAAGTTTGCCCCATGTTGTAGAGGCCGCGGAGACCGATCGCTCGACAGGGTAGGAAGGTGGAGTTGCTCACAACCAGCTTGGCTTCGTCGGTGGTGATTGTATCATCGTGTCTGCGTTTCTTGCCTGCGGCAAAATCGATAAGCTTCATCCAGGCCAAGAATAAGAAAAGGGACACGAACCTTTCTGAAGCCGCCTGAGCTCTAGATCGGGATCATAGATGAAGTCTTGGCAATTCCCGCAGTATATATGCCCGTCGCGCGACTCCACAGCTGCATTTAACATTAGCCCAGCACAACCAAGATACCTGGAATGACTGACAGAAGCAATGTAGTTTCGCCTCCGCATGCTGATCCCGCTCCGCCTCAGGCAACACACTCGGACACTGGAGGCACAGGTACCTAGAATCCAATCCGTTAAGTCAGCGCAGTTCTGGAAAGTGAGAGCTTCGTTCTCAGGATTGGCAGGCGGATCGAGTCTGAAATGCCGCCGGTGCCCTGGAGCACCACCTGGGTCGCACCTCAAAGCCAATCCACTATGTTGTGCGGCAAACAGTGGCCTCGGGGCCTGGGGTGTACGTACAAGGGTCGGAGGGAGACGACAGGCCGGCCGTCGCCAGCAGCGGGAGGCGATTTGTACGTCTGGGCAATTACACTCGGCTTCTCGTGTATATCCTGCAATATGGCCTTGTAGTTGTGCAGGGTGGGCTTGCGGGCATTCTCCATCATGTCTCGCATGTGCTCTGTCGAAGTTCGCTGTCAGCTGTGAATCTAGAGAGGGAAGTCGCGAAGCTTAAACTGACCGCAGCCGTACTCCACGTAGGCCATCTGACTGCTGGGCACGATGGCTCCTTTAGAGTTCTTAACAACCTTGGGCGATGCCAGCGAGGCCGCCTTGGGCGTGGCGGAAATGGCGTCCATGCTGGATGAATTAATGTCTTGTCGCTCCTGTTCCTGGGGTTGGGTGCGGAGGGGGTGCCGCTACATGGCAGCAAGCCGAGCCCCAGCAAGAGGTGAAGACGGCGATGAAAGTGATTGCCCGTCCCACTTTCACTCGTCGCCTTGTCAGATACAGACTTGGCGCGCGTGTGTCTAAGTTTGGGATGGAGATGCGTGAGCTCCTGCATGAAGCCAATCCAAGACTCGGGCCGGGGGTGCGCCACTAGCGGATCTCCCGCCCCACCGGGATCTTGTAGCTTGGTCCGTCCCTCAGCATTTTGATGTAATAGTTACCCACGAAGGGAATTTAAGAGCGCCAGTAAATTTATTTGAATAAGCCATGAGTATCTGCTATGTGAAAAATGTCGGCGTAGCTTTGTGCGAAATTTGGCAGAGCGTGGCCACGCCACACTCAGCCTTGGCTCGCCGTCACGCCGGAAATATGATTACGACTGCTCATAACGAGGAGCATGATAAGAGCGCAGTATTCACGACGATTTTGAGGGTTCAGTTCTGGTCTTCACAGCCTCTCTGGACCTATTCCTTAGCTCCAAGACTTGCCCTAGTGCAGTGAAAATGATACCCGGCATATAATTGGAGAGGGTAGCAACCCGATGACTGGATCATATTACCTGCCATCCCCGTGCCCCGCTTCCTGATTCCAACAATAGCTACTGTCATACACCGCCTCTTTTACCGTAGGTGCTGTGAGATTCTGTCCCGCCTTGACTCTGGGTGAGAGAAGCCTTTTCTCTTTTACGTCGTTGCAAAGGTAACTCAAAAGGTATATATCATTTATGGAGCTCAGAAATCATTATAATTCAATTCAAAAGACAACGTGCCAGAGTGGTTAATGGGTATGACTCGAACGCTCGCCTACTAGATATCATATGCCTTCGGGCGCGCAGGTAAGTGCTGAAATAATTCCTACATCCTTTCTAGATATTAATTACCTATGAAGGTTCGAATCCTGCCGTTGTCGAATCATCTTTTTGCTATTCTGATTGTGTTAGTTTTTTGGGGTTGAATACCAATTTTGGAGGGGTGGCGTGGGAACGGCATCTTTTTGAGTTCTGGCGGACATATGGCCGAGGTTTAGAACTCACCAAGTGCACAGACATTTTTTTCACTTCTGTTTTTACTGCTACCGTGTTCTATGGGCCAAATTTGATTTGTGGGGTGCCGCTGTGTGGTCAGCGAAGTTTGTGTATCACGGACCATGGTTTTGTGGTGGAGGAACATCAACCCTTCAGAATCGATCCCAAT